CGGAATCGAGACTAACAAAGGCGGTTCCGAAACTAGTCCTTCTCGGCCCTGTCTCTCACGTCACACATCTCTGACGAGGTCGTGGTGCTCACAAAATGAGGCTGGGAAGGCCAGCAGGCAGCCTGGACCCACCCTCCCATCTCCAGACACCAGCGACACAAACGCAGCCGTGTTCAACCCACGACGCCCACGGACGCCCCGTGTCGTCAAAAGGAAGTTGGGGAAAAGGCACTGACTGTATCTAGAACCCGGACAGACGGACGAGAGGCAGAGTGAGCTACTGTTTGGGGAATTGAAGAAAGATGGGTCGGGAAAACTGGACAAGCAAAGGAGGGCTTCAGAGACATGGGTCCTGACATCAGTGTCCAAGCAGTCAGGACAGCTGCCCTGCGGACGGGCCCAGAAGTAGCTCCCGCTCGTCCCAACCCTGCTGAAGCTCTGAGGCCATCCCCACCCTGCTGAAGCTCTGAGGCCATCCCCAGGCTGCTGGCCACCTGAGGCCATTCCCACCCTGCTGGTCCCCTGAGGCCATCCCCACCCTGCTGGTCCCCTGAGGCCATCCCCNGCAGCCTGGACCCACCCTCCCATCTCCAGACACCAGCGACACAAACGCAGCCGTGTTCAACCCACGACGCCCACGGACGCCCCGTGTCGTCAAAAGGAAGTTGGGGAAAAGGCACTGACTGTATCTAGAACCCGGACAGACGGACGAGAGGCAGAGTGAGCTACTGTTTGGGGAATTGAAGAAAGATGGGTCGGGAAAACTGGACAAGCAAAGGAGGGCTTCAGAGACATGGGTCCTGACATCAGTGTCCAAGCAGTCAGGACAGCTGCCCTGCGGACGGGCCCAGAAGTAGCTCCCGCTCGTCCCAACCCTGCTGAAGCTCTGAGGCCATCCCCACCCTGCTGAAGCTCTGAGGCCATCCCCAGGCTGCTGGCCACCTGAGGCCATTCCCACCCTGCTGGTCCCCTGAGGCCATCCCCACCCTGCTGGTCCCCTGAGGCCATCCCCACCCTACTGGCCCCCTGAAGCCATCCCCAGCCTGCTGGCCCCCTGAGGCCATTCCCACCCTGCTGGCCCCCCGAGGCCATCCCCAGCCTGCTGGCCCCCTGAAGCCATCCCCAGCCTGCTGGCCACCTGAGGCCATCCCCACCTCCGGGCTCCACCCCCTCCTGGCCCTTTTGAAGGCTGCCCATCTCCTGCTCACTCTGTTCTAAAGCCGAGTCTGTAAAAGACCCAGAGGCTCAGGCCTGGGATCCCTCCTAAACCAGGCCGCTTTCTTACCTGCTGCAGGTTGGGGCAGAGTCAAGCCGAGAAGGGGGAGGGGGAGGAAGGCGCAGGGAC